CGGAAGGACGACGAAAGCTTCGCGACTAAACCAACCAGCTCAGAGCACACTTTTAATTGCAAATCATCCACCTGAGCTACAAATCTTCTCTATTAGATGTAACATCATTATTGACTAAACTCAAACAAGAACCATGAAATAAAAATGCGAAAAAGGCATTTCCCGCCTTCCTTAAAAGTGCATCCAATGTCGCCATATTCTCATTGTTGACAACAGGATATGTTGACAGCTGCATTGAGTATTTGACAATCATATTTGTTGAGGTTGTGAGTCGGTGGCATAGCAGTTAGGACGCTCGCTGACCATGCACATGGTCCGGGATTCGATCCCCGGCCGATGCACTCTTTTACCTCGCTAAACCACAAATAATGCTGGTAAAGAGGAAAGGTTGGGCATGCGGCTAGCAACCCCATCCTGTAAAAATGAAACACTCCTACAGAAACTTCAAACCACTACCTTGAGTCCGTATGTTCCACTGGGAACGTGAAGGAAAAAAATATTTAAGTGTTGGTTTGTAGGGATTTGATTGGTTACAGGATTTTCATCATGAGCTGACATCGGTTAAGAGAACCAGCTGTTTCTTCCCACTAGTTTGGGACTCTTCATCACCACAGGGAGGTTCGAACTAACGACCTTCCGGTTACGAGGCAAGCTCGTAGATCATTTAGCTAATCAGAACCGATCTTTTAAATCTCTCTTTACTCTCTTTTCACACCTCTTGTGTTACATGGAGTGGAGTGTGCCAACTGAAACTGCTCCACACCTGTGCAAATTTAGTTCTACGTTGAAACTAGTCAGTTAGTTATATACAGTTGTCAACACTGACTTTTGAATAATAGTAGTTGTTGTTGTAGTTTTTTTTGGTAATATTCCTCACAATTGACAATCTTTTCATGTTTTTTTATTGATTCTTTCTGTTTTCTCAATGGTATGGTGTGTGTGTGTGTGTGTATCCAGTTGTCTTCGGAACATGTCAACCGATCCCGATACGATTAAGATTAGGCAAACTGGGTTTACCACAAGATTGCAAGCTGAGCACAAAATTATATCGTATTCACCATTCATCGAATAAACGTTATAATAATAATAAAAATGATACAAAAGCTAAGCACACCTCTGTCTCGCACAAGTCGTCCACATCCATAGTGATCACTACTCCTACGCATGACAATGATGAAAATGATATTCCTGCCAGTAGTGTTCCTATGACATCTATTGCAAATGACTACACTTTGGTGTCGAATACATTTGACCAGCATGAAGAGAGCAGTGCTCATCAAACAGCTGACAGTAATAATAATAATTTTATGAATTATACCCTACCACATCAATTTATCCTAGAAGATGGACCAGTAGACTTTATTCAAGAGTACAACAATTCAACAGCATACAATAATCCTACCACTACTACTACTACTACTTCGTGTAAAATTAATCATCCTGTACCGGCATTTCCACCTGGATGTTGTTTACAGCTAAGCAGACCGTTAAACTTATCTGCTGTTTCATGTAATGATCAAGTGAGTTTGTGTGTATATGATGTTTACATGTGCTAATTGATACCAGTTGTGTTTTTTCGTTTGATTATCTGTCTTTATAAGTGAAAAACACAGTTTTTTGGTCAGCGAAGAAATTTCTTTTCAACGACTTCATTTTCAAGCCAACTGTACAGTCGTATTTATATTACAGAAAAGGTTAGTAAGTGGCACTAAATAATTGCTCAGTCAATATACATATATACATGTGAATAAGAATAACGATAATAAAAATGTTATAAGGGGTAGAGTTAAAGTGGATAAATTACAAAATTATTAAAGATTGTTTTATAAGTGAATTGAAATCAAAAATGTTTTAAAAATGTCAAGTGTTGCCTAAAAGAACTTGATAACCTTCGATCAAATCTCCTTAACAATGGATATCCTACAAGGTTTATTGAACGTAACATCAAGAAAGAATCCGCCATTTGACAAATCACAGTGACAAAGAAAAAACTGTTTATGAGTCTTGCATTCAAAGGTGAATTGATTAAAACTCGTTTACCTAAATCTATTAAACGTACTTTTCCTGCAGCTGACTTGCAACTAGTTTTTACCAGCCGAAATATGATTAGACAATGCGTCAAGGATAGATTACCGCTTATGCCCACAACTATGTGTATTTACTCTTTTTCCTGCTCTTGTGGAGCTGATTATATTGGACGTTGTGAGCGTACTCTCCGAAAACATGTAGCTGAACACTATCCGGTTTGGTTGATGAAAGGCGAACGTAGAACTGCGAAGTCGTCTATCTGTGATCACCTGTTAGAGTCAGGTCATTCAGCCCCACGTAATTCAACCTTCAAGGTTATCTACATGGCAAAATCGAATCGATCGAAAAGTTTAATTTTTTCTTCACTTATGCATAGCCGAAGCTTTAGCTATACATGAACAGAAACCTAAATTATGTGTTCAAAAACGTTTTGTCAAACCCCTTTGTTTACCTTGGTCATAGTAATGTTCTTTCTAGTTTTTACTTTATTTCATTTTACCACTTGAATTCATTCCACTTCACTTCACATCTTCATTCTTATCGTAATCGTACTCTTATTTTTTAAAATTTTTAGACAACAATTGACATTTTTAAAACAATTTTCAATTCACTTATAAAACAATCTTTAATAATTTTGTAATTTATCCACTTCAACTCTACCCCTTATAACATTTTAATTATCGTTATTCTTATCACTTATATATGTATATTGACTGAGCAATTATTTAGTGCCACTTAATAACCTTTTCTGTAATATAAATACGACTGTACAGTTGGCTTGAAAATGAAGTCGTTGAAAAGAAATTTCTTCGCTGAACAGAAAAACTGTGTTTTTACTTATGAATAAATGGGTATTTTTCGTGATTATCTATTTTTGTTGTTGTTGTTGTTGTTGTCAATAATCCGATTAAACAAGCCCGATTAGCTCATTGACGACTGCAGAAGATTGCGTCCAGGGATTTTGATTCCCGACTGACACACACGCGCTAGAGACAACGGTATCCACCACATAACTGCCTGTTAAATAGTAATAGTAACAAATGTTTTACATTATAACTTTAAGAACCTGGAGAGAATTTATTGAAAAGAATAATCTCTCCGTTCAGGCGAACTTTTAATTCATTATTTGGGAGAGCATTTCAAATGAAAAAGAGAAGACATTCAGCGAAGAGACTCTTTTCGGTGAGTTCATTCACACAGCTATACAATCGCATATATATATATATTTATTTGTGTGTGTGTATGTACATGAGGTTTGTCAAGTTTAGATAATTGATCAGGTAATACAAGAATGACCTAATATAGAAACAAAGTTAATCAGACAGCAACTAAAGTAAGATTGAGTTAGCAAGTTAGATGACGTAATATAATTGACTTAGCGTCCCGAAAAAACTACTCTACATGAACCTTCAATTCCATGGAGATATATCTGCGGAAACACTAAAAAATCGACTGTCGTGCTCACTCAAGAAGACCTTCTTTGCAGCTGAACTACGACTAACCTTCTCCACAAAACCTATGATTCATGTGAACGTGAAGGATAAGCTACCGCTGCTGGCCTCATCAATGTGTATTTATCAATTCACCTGCTCGCGTGGAGCCAAGTATGTCGGCCGTACCCAGCGCTCGCTTTCCAAACGTATCACCGAACACTTACTAATATGGTTTTAAAAAGGAGAAAATCGATGCCCCCGCAGTTCCATCTTAGAACATGTGATAGAATCCGGACAACAAGCTACACCACAAACAAACTCCAAAGTCGTCTACAGAGTAAGAAGTAGTCTTCCTAAAGGTGTACGAATCAGACTTCTTCAAAGTGCAGAAGCAATCTCGATTCACTTGCTAAGTCCTGAACTCTGCATACAGAAGAAGTTCGTTCAATCACTACACTTGCAATGGACGTGATCTATCTTATTAGCCGACAAGTAAATTCTACCTAACCTTTTTTTCTGTCTCTTCATTAGTATTATTTTGTGTTCTCAATTGTAGTATTTTACATTTTAAACTTTCTTGTTCTCTACCCCCACCCGATATAATTTCTACACCTCACTACCACTGTTACTGACTTGAAGAACGCTCAATTTCTAGTCAGTTATGTTACGTCATCCAACTTATTTGCTCAATTTCACTTCTACTTATTCTCTACCTGTAATTACCTCTGTTGCTACCCTGATCTAAGTTGAAACATTTTACTCAATGATATTATGTCATCTAACTTCTTAACTCAATCTTACTTTAGTTACTGTCTAACTAACCTTGTTTTTATATTCGATCATTCTTGCATTACCTAATTAATAATCTAAATTTGACAAACCCCATTTACACACACAAGTAAATGTGTATAAATGCGACTGTACAGCTATGTGAATGAATTCGCCGAAAAGAGCCTCTTCGCTGAATGTCTTCTCTTTTTCATATGACTCAATCGGGATTTTCAAGAACATTTTATGGTGTATCCGATGGGACACCGCCCCCCCTCCGCAACTGGTTACTACCTCTCACTAAAACTTCACTTAACTTTACCCTGTAGCCAGTCACATGTCATTAGTATTCAACTTTCGGAAATATTTAGACATCATTTAAAGAAGCATTGGAAACTACCAGGGTATACTGGACAGCTATTTCATCCTAGTTTGGGACACTCTTCATCAGTACGCACCCACTTAGGGTGGAACCCAGGACCTTCTGGTTACAAGGCGAGTTATTAGACCATTCAGCCACTTGTACGTGATTCAATGGATCATGAATTCTAACAATTCATGACATAGCGCGACCATTTTGCAATTTCTTCGATGAGTTACTACCTCACCTTCAACCTGCTGCACAGCTTCCCACTATAACCCCCGGGTTAACTGCCTGAATAGGGCCAGTCGCTAGTGAGCATCAGATTAATTTTCAGGCATTGGTTTTGTACGGGAAACTAGGACGAAACAGCTGTCCATTACTCCCTGACAGGTTTTCCAATGGTTCTCCAACTGGTGTCAGTTGTTGATGAAATCCTCCAACCAATCAAACAAAATTCCCTACAAAACCAATACTTGAAAATTCGTGATATATTTAGCGAAATTACCAGTCAGTGTCACTCACAGACAGGTAATTGTTCTCCCCTCTGACTTGATGGACACCGCTGGTTACGACTTATCACTAGAACCCCAGGTAACTCCTTTTGTATAAGGCCAGTCGGCTCCTAGTGACTGAGCAATAGTCGATGGGCTCTCCTCGTATCCGGGCGCGTGCTGATGAAGAGTCCCAAACTAGGACGAAACAGCCGTCTAGTGCTCCACGTTCTTCTATCGGTTCTCTAACTGATGTTAGCTCATGATCAATCCTGTAGGCAATCTAATCCCTGCTAACTACAACACATGATAATTTTTATTTCTTTTCAGTTTGCTCTTTCAATGCCCAGTGGACATTATTGTATTTTACCAGTGAATATTATCAAACCATTGGCATTCAGATTGAATATGTTCCCTCTACTTAAATCATAGTAAGTCAAACAAAGTAACTTGAGAATAACTCTTTTTTACAGCCATTTTACGCCTTTTTTATAAATGTGAATGGGTGATTTATTACATCCCGTAAAATCCTCGGTAGTTTTGTAATGACAGAAGAGAAGGGTCAGACAACAGATCGTTTATTGAGGAAATCGAGATATTTACAGATTTCTATGAACATTATTATTCGTTATTATTAGCAGAGAAACGGCGTCTTCTGATTGGTTGTTTTCTCGCTGAAAGTTTTTTCTGTCATCTCTTTGTGGCCATTTCTTTTAAGGTCAGACCATATATCTGCGAATCATATCCGCCCACTCAAAGCCTGCTGTTGTGATTGGTTATTGAGATAGTCTTTGTTCTTGTTTCTTTTTTTTCTCATGACCAAGATATGGGACGTAAACATTGACGTAAATTGCTGTCTACCCATTTTGGCCAGCAGACAGCTCTCACCACAGTTTGACTAACTGTCTAGATGCTTTCAAGCAGCCTTACAAAGTGTTTTGTGATAGTTATGTGTTAATATATGCAATTTTTCATGCAGACTATAAAATGCGTATATAGCTTGAAGGATATTTTCGAATTTATAGAAGAATTGAGAGATAAGAAGATCAATAATGTTGCTGATGATGATAAAACAACGATCTCTGCGAATGTCACTACCTTGTTCTCACTAACCTTCCTTTTGTTAGAGCCTATCGACTTCATCTGTGAATCTGTAGTGGGAAATGATATGGAAATAGCTTTGCCACTTAAAGCACTACGTGAACTGTTACTCCGATTGTAGAATGAATGTACAGTTTCAGTTTAACAACGAGATATATGTCTTCAAGTGGTGGAAGGCGTAGCAAATGATCTCTTCTCTCAATCGATGTGTTTATTGAGAAATTAGGGAATACTACGCTAAAAAAAATGTAATCAACAAACTCCTGTTCAACTATAGATATATGGATGATACTTTCATCCTGCATAAGAATAAAGTCGATACGGAAGACCCCCTCAAAACGTTCAATATGGCTTAACCACAAATTGCGTGCACATACCGAAACAGAGGTGTTCTGCTGAAAAGAAGTCAAGATGATAGTATTAAGCGGGGTATTCTCCCCAGAAAAAAATGATGGGTTGGTCAATACACCCGTCCATTTCATGTTGTTTGTTCCTCTAGCATACAAACGCAATCTCTTCAGTATCCTGATGTTTCGTACTAGAAAAATCTGCACAATCGACACTTTGGACTATGAAATAAGGAAAATAGGAGTGCTAACTATATGAGAACAAATATCTAGGAAAATTTGTTAAATTCTCCATGAGATGACAGCAGACAGGGAGAAATGCTTGCAAGCTGTGTACAGAAAAAACATGTATATGTATGAACTTATCGTTCAAAGGAGACTAACTGGCATCAGATTAGTTTTCAAGAGTTAGTTTGTCGTGGGGATTTGATTTGTATTAAGTTTGGTCACGAATGGAGGCCAACCAGTCGGCAGTGAGGACAAAACTCGCCATCGATGACATTGGTTGGTGTCAGTCGTGCCAAAATCACGAATTCATGGGCTGGCCACTGAGTCCGGTCCCAGTGACTGATTGGTTTACGAGCTTGCTTGTAACCAGAAGGTCCTGGGTTCGAACCACTTCGTTGTGGGTGCGTACTGTCAGTCCAGTACTCCCTACTGGTTTTCGATGGTTCCCTAACTGATATCAATCCTTTAACAAACTTGAAAAAAATCGATTCCCTACAAACCAACCCTCGGTTTGGATAACCGTTCTCTGTGAGCGTGGCTTTTATGAAGGAAAGTTCTGATTCAACGCAGTCAGGATTACAAATGCTTCTTATCGTAAAGCAAAGGGAGTGGATTAAGGTCCTTCTCCTGGAGATAGGCACCGAACTATAAACATCAGTTAGTTGTCCAATCCGTCCACTGAAGCAAACATCAAGAAAATGAATGTTTAGTTCAGATTGTTTTCTCTATGGCGAATTACAGAGAAGGATGGCAGTTGTTGAATGCAAACAAGCATCATATCCTTATCTAATATAACGAAAGTGTCATCTACGTAACTTCTGTAAATATATTGTAACAAAAGAAGACAAGGCCCAGGCAACAGGTCGTTTATTGAGAAAATCAACAGATATTTATAGATTTTCATGTACATTATTATTCTTTATTATTAGCAGAGAAACAACGCCTTCTGATTGGTTGTTTCTCACTGAAAGTTAATCTTTCATCTCTTTGTGGCCGTTTCTGTGACTGTCAGATTATCTATATGCTAATTGTATCCGCCTACGCAAAGTCTACTGTGATTGGTTGTTGAGTCAGTCTTTGTTCTTATTCTTCTTATGACCAATATTGGGGATGTAAACATTGACGTAAAATACTGTCTACCAATTTCGGCTGGCAGCCACTTGACACTTGATATTTAACTTTGATTATAATGACACATAATTTAATTGCATTTCATACTACTATGACTATTACTATATGTATTCACATCTTTGTCTAAATTTTTTTCACGGGATACAATTTCTTAAAAACAGTATATCAATACGATTGTACAGCTTGATAATAAATTCGTTGTTGAAAAGAGTCTCTTCACTGAATATTGTGTTTCCTAATGGGAGCATATACAAAGACTATAACTACACTCCTCTTAACGAAGGTTTGAAAGATTGAAAACCTGTTTTTGAATTGATTCGCTTATTCCTACATTTTGCGACTAATTTGTGTTCCTTTTTGTAATATGTGATGCATAATAAATTGGTTCAACAAATTCTACACTCACATATGTCACTCTTTCTGAAGTATTATTATAATTATTTTTCCTTGAGTTCCGAGTGGAGCATATGTCTTCAACAATACATCTTCACTTTGTTCTATTTTCTGCTATCCTCTTCAGCTGGCTAGCCCCACGATTGTCCATAATCTCACATCTCTTCCTCCTCGCCACACGATCTCCCCCATGTTACCCTCTCACCGATGACCCACTCGTCCTTACCCATTTGGATTTCACTCGAGGCATTGCCTGGTGTGTGATATCATTTAACGGCCTCCTCAATGTATGCCCGATCCATCTCCGTTTTCTCCTACATGTTTGTTGGTTGGTTGGTTTGCTTATCGCCAGAGTTTCTTGTTGCTAATTCTTTCTTACCGGCCATTTGATCTTCAGTATGAATCCAGCCAGTGAAGGGGGCAGCTGTTGATAAGTCCGTAACTCGTTGGAAATCCTTTTCATGACACGCAGTGCAAGTTTCTGACCCGTATAGAAGAACTGACTAACTTCACCTTTGTGTTAAACAGAATTCGAATCTTTTTGTTTATGCTGGCTGAGTCAGTGGAGAAGGTTAACAAATCGGTTTCACATTGGTGAAGGCGTATCTTACTTTTCTGATTCTGACTCTAACATCTGTGCCATCGTCTGTGGTTGAAACGGTGCTTCCTAGATAAGTGAAGGTAGTGATGTCTTTCAAATTTCTCCGTTGTTAGTGATTGGTGATGTTTGTTGTAGCTGTTGGTTGTTTATCGTCATCACCTCCGTCTTCTCTATGTTCACCTGCAGTCGTGTCTTTGCTGCCTGTCTGCTCTCACAGATACCCAGCACTTCTACGCCATATCTTCGCATTTTTTTTGACTCTCTGGGCAGCCTTCACAGTCTCGTACATTGTACGGAGATTCCTTTGCTCCCATTCTTATTCTTGCCTTCATCGAGAGAAGCCACATCGTCTGGCTGACTGACTGGCTTCCCGAAGGCTTTCACTGGCCGGCCCGCTGTGTCATTTCGTCTCTCTGATTCCATTGAAGATTAAGATTGTTATTTGAATTTTTTGTGTTTTTAACTTCACTTTTTGTGCGTTGGAGTTTCTCTAGCAGTTTGATAGCTTCTGTGGTGTAAGGCTGCTAGTCCCGCAGCGCCCAACTCTCCATCTTTACGCGGCCTTGAGATCGGCTGGTTAACTAGCTTGCTAGTTAACCAGCCGATTTTTTCTCCTTAAGTGCATTTCTCAAATAACCGAAATACTTATTACATTCTCTCTTTTTACTACGCTTACATTTCAGCATTATATTTAGCCTGCATATCGCTTGTGTAGACACAGATCCCGACTGTATTATCCCACCCGAGTTATACTGTAGTCTTGAAAGACCATGTCGAGAACCAGTCACATTTGAATTATCAAATATGAGATTTTCTCTATCCGCTTGTAAACCTTCTCCTACTACTCCTGCTCCTGCTCCCTCATCTCAACATAAACGTCCAGCTCTGCGTAGTTCTTCAACTGGCAATCAACAGCTAAAACCTCAACATCGAAATTTGTCAAAAACACGTAGTTCACCTGCAGCTGATGAAGGTGTACAACTTGCTGAGGAGCGTACTACTACTAGTACGCATAAAAATGATTTCTTGAAAACAGGATCTGTTGATAAATTGTATGAAAGTAATGAAGATAAGCCTATTGAATCGTTAAATGGTGATATTCTAGACAATAAACTTACTAAAGCTGTAAGTTATACTCTTTTTCTTTGTTTATAATATTTTAACTTTTATGAAGAGAATTAAAAAAGGACAATTTTCAAAAGAATGGATACTGAACAAAGAAAACACTTTCCGATAACTTCATCATCAGGCTTTAGGCCAGGTAGAGGGTGCATAGATCATATCTTCACTCTCCGACAGATCCTAGAACATAGGCACACTTTTAGGCGTCCAACAATTGCCATATTTCTTGACTTGAAGGCGGCCTTCGACTCCGTGGATCGAGAGGTACTATGGCAATGTTTGACTATGAAGGGAGTGCCAAGAAAGTACATTGCACTAATCAAGGCACTCTACTCAAACTCACGTAGCTGTGTAAGGGCTTATGGGGAATTGTCATCTGAATTGATAACAACTAGTGGTGTCCGTCAAGGATGTCAACTTTCCCCTTTTCTGTTTAACTTCATCATAGATATGCTAATGGAAGTATCCTTAACTGAACTTAACGACTTAGGAATCGACTTGTTACCAAGGAATAGTCTTATAGACTTAGAATACGTAAACGACATAGTCCTGTTAGGGGAGGACGCTGACAAAATGCAGAGTCTTCTGAACACCTTGAGCAGCAATCTTCGTATGTTTGGCATGCGATTCGCCCCTGTGAAATGTAAGATGCTGCTACAGGACTGGACTACGTCAACTCCAAGCTTAGTGATAGGGAGTGAAGTGATAGAACATGTTGACCACTTCACCTATTTGGGAAGTTGTATCGGCACCGACGGACTGATTGGTGACGAAATCTCATCACGGATCCAGAAAGCTCGGGCTGCTTTCGCTAACTTACACCGTCTCTGGTGTAGGCGTGACATCCGGCTGTCAACCAAGGGACGTGTATACTGCTTAGCAGTTCGCTCCGTCCTTCTCTATGGCAGTGAGACGTGGCCATTGAGAGCGGAAGACATGAAGAGATTGTCTGTTTTTGGCCACAGATGTTTACGATCACTTTCTCACGTGAGGTGGTATAATAAGGTAAGTAATGTTGACGTTAGGCGTAGAGTGTTAGGCAAAGAGGAAAAATCAATCGACGAGGCTATGAAGTTACATAGATTGAGATGGTTAGGCCACGTGCTGCGCATGCCTAACCATCGTCTCCCCCCGACGGGCATTACTAGCTGATATAGGTGCAGGTTGGAAAAGAGTAAGTGGTGGCCAAACAAAAACATGGCCTCATCAATCCATGAAATCCCTGACAGTTAAACTGGGTCAGGTAGGGAGATGCAGACTTCCGGGTTGGGGCCCTCGGGACTCTAAGAATCAATGGCTGGAGACAATAGGTGACATGGCTCAAAATCGTTGTCAATGGCGCAGATGTATTCAGTCTCTTTAACCTTTCATATTCCTTTCTACTATTACTCATTCTGTTTCAATCTTATACTTATCTAAATTCTATTGATTCTCTTCTCTCCTTTTCCTGTCTACCTTTGTGTGCTATTTGGAACGTGGCAACTCGAACTGCTGCACTTCGGTGCCAAGTTCTATGTTGAATCCAGCAGCAGCATCATCAGGCTCTACGGTTATATACACACATTATAGTGAATTAATGAATTAGTGTTAAGAACAACATTAACGTTGTTTAAATAACAATGAATCAATAATATCAATAGATTACAGTTCCATAGCATCAACATAACAATAAACTGAATGCCAGAAGAATTATGAAAGATAATATTACAAATTCATGAGTTTATAGTCACCACTGAGGGCCAGGGCAGTAGTAGGGGCTGGACTTGTTTCTTTTGAACACAGAACACTGGTTGTTTGAGGCGAATTGCAATAGCCTCTGATGCGTGGAGCATGCGGTACCTCGATGATTTTGGCAATTTATTTGAACAGCGTTGAAGAATCCTTTTCAGTCATCTACCGGGTACCATATAAATTGCGAAAAACATCGAAGTACCACATGGTCTAAACTGCAGAGGCTATTACGATTCGCATGAAACAACCAGTGCTTTGTGTGCAAAAGAAGCTAGTTTAGCCAGCTGCTAACACTGCCCTTCTCAGCCTTCAGTGGAGACTATAAATTCTTGAAATTGTATTATTGTTATCTTTCCTAATTTTTCTGACATTCATTTTATTGTTATGTTGATGATATTGAACTGTAATCCATTGATATTATTATTGTCGATTCGATGTTATTTCGACAACATTAATGTTGTTAATAACAGTAATTCATTCATTCACTACAATGTATACATATAACTGTAGAACCTTATGATGAAGTTATCGAAAAGAGTATTCTTTGTTCAGTATCCATTCTTTTAAAAATTTTAATGGTGATTTTTAATCAGTTAAAAGGACAAGTCACAGAAAAGGGGAAAAATTTTCTCTTTTTTATCACCGACGAAATGGTCGTCTTGATAATACTGTTCTCGTGTCACGAAGGGCACTTCGAACAAACTACAAACTTCGCTCCATATTCCAGATCAGATGGCCGGTCGGAAAAGATCCACAACAGGGATCTTTGAAAGCGAACCAACCAGAAACCGATTGTGCAACAAATATGCAGGAAGAAATGGAGGTGGATTGACAATACTCCGAGGAAACCATCAAGCGACATCATAAGACAGGCCATCGCTCGAGTGGAACCCGAACGGGAAGCGGTGACGTGGTCGTCAGTGCGAGGTTGACAGGGAGGTGGTGCAAAGAGTAAATGAAAGCATGTGGACAGAAGTGGAGCCAGATGAAATTGTTGGCAGAGAACCGAACGCAATGGAGACGTGAGGCTGAAGCCCTATGTTCCTCTAGGAATTAAAGGAAACTATATATATAAGGGCTGTGTAAAATAGACTTACTTAAAAGTTGTTTCTACAGATAGAAAGTAATTGCGTAATAATTACCAACACAATGGTGTGGCGAGTTCTACTGATAAGATTTATCAGTAGTATATATATATATAAATATAAAGAGAAATTCATCGTCGTGAAAACGTCAAATAGCACTGAGGTAAATTTGGTGCCAGCGAAAGCAGATGATACAGTGTTGTGGAGATACATGGGAGACATGAGTGAAAGGAACACAAAGAAACACAATGTGGAGGAAGGCGAGAAGTACCACAACACGAAGGATCTGTGTAAATGGTGCGTTGAACATAATTGGCTACATAATTTGGCTATATATAGAGATACCGTATTGTAAATAAACATTCCTTTACCAAGTGTCTTCGTCTTCTACCGTTGCAATGGATGTAAGGCTTTGAAACTTGATGTGCTAGGGTGGAAATTGTTGTATTGGGCGATGAGAAGAGTAACACCATTGAAGATGACATTGCCGATAAAGGAGATTTTCTTCGAATATAGGGTTAAAAACAATAGGTCGCGTAGAATAAGATGTCAGCACTGTTTATATCATCAATAATGATATTCCTAATTGTGGTGGACTAGATTATGCGGAAGACTATGTCGGAAGGAGAGGTGGATTGGGAGCGACAAAACAGGAATACTTTGAACCGATACAAAGACGAGTCAGTAACATAATCCAACGATTAAAACAATAAGAATTCGATAAAAAATATCATACAACCTTATGTTGGATGAAAATTCACGGATAGCTTGAGGATTCAAACAAACCGCCCTTGGAGTTTAATAGATACTGATTTAACACCTACTTTCAGGGATATAAACATAACGAAGTTGCGAACGAAGGAAAAGCACAGAAATTAGACTTGTTATTCTTCAAGACTTCACAAGTGATGCATTATGAAAAAGAATAAAGATCTGTGTTCGACTCCCGGTCATCCAGTAAATAACATTACTTCACTCTGTGTAGGTATGTGTTATATCGAATAAATAGATTATAATATGGAATTACCTACATACTACTGTAATGGGAGACGATAAGAGACTTAGTAACGGACCTTCTATTATGGAAAAAGACATTGTGTTTTCTTACACATTCTCAGCCACATTAGAGTTCGGCAAGGTGAGAGGAGAATAGGCTGTTCTTATTGGTTGGCAATTGACCCAAGGTTGTCCAATGAGGTAATTTCATGTCCACAACGTGTAAACCAAACCCAATTTTGAGGAATCAACACTTTTACCTCAATTTTTCGCCGTTTCTTATGACATCTTCACCACGCTACACTACTACTACTACCGTAATGACAGAAGACAATGGTCAGGGAACAGATCTTTTATTGAGAAAATCAAGAGATATATATCGATTGTTATGTACATTATAATCAGCTTTATTGTTAGCAGAGAAGCCACGTCTTCTGATTGGTTGTTTTCTTGCTCAAGGTTATCCTGTACTGCTTGTGAAAGAAAGTTTCTTAGAAAGTTAAGCCATTTTTCTGCGAATCGTATTCGCACACGTTAAGTGTGCTGTGATTGGCTGGTGATTTCCACAAGGTCAAGCTTTGTTCTCGGGATGTAAACACTGACGTAAATTGCTGTCTACCATTTTTCACTCGCACACTCTCACCATACTACTATCATTGCCAACACAGTCTCCAATTTTGACACATGTACCACATTTTGTCTTGTCTAACTTAATTCCCTCTCTCTATTTTTTTTCTATTCTATTTCATTTTTCATTCAACAGTATGTCAATCATTTGACACCATTTTCAATCCCTTGGCGTTTTAAACAATTAGAGTATAATCAGTTTATGAAAGTGTGTAAGGAGGCCCAGTATCAACCGATTGGTCGTTTCGAGTGTACAATGAATCGTATTGGTGGCACAAAAATTAATCAACAAATTCGAGTGGATTGTGCTCTTCAACAAAAAATTTAATTCAGTTTCTTTCTCAAAAAAATATCATGAGTTCAATGATGGTATCTCATGCTATTCCGCCAAAAGATGATCAATTCCAGGAATCCAAAGTCCTTCAAAATGACGATGGTGTAATATTAGTTGCTCAACGTTAATTATTCTACTTTCCATAATTATTATTGTTGTTTATTTTTGCACTTGTTACTTTTTCTATTAAATGTATATTTTTTTAAATCTCACTAACCATACTACTTATTATAAAGGATAAACTACTTAAATGTGTGTATCGTCATTACTGAAGGCATTCATTTCTAACTTGCCTAACTAAAAAGAATTACACATCATAACATATACACATATCTGTGATATCAAATTTGCCCTTATTGGTACGAAACCGATTTTGTTTTTGTTATTTTCTTTTTTTTAACTGAACCAAAATCATGATTACACCATCAGCACCATTCCACTTTCGATATTATTATTATTAATAAAAGCAATACAATAACCCTTCATTTTTCAAAGTACACACAGCATTATCTACAAAACACTACTACTCTCAGTAGTGTGTGTACTCTGATGTCTGTGAAGCGCTCTCTCAGGAATATATAACTCTAACCAATTCTTCACAAATAATCATCCCATATATACATACCTCTAAGGAAACTCTACACACATATCACAACTTTTCATTGCTCTATATATGATGATTGTAACTGTTTTGCTCAATACTAACCAGTAATAATGATGATAAATATGCTAACTTTTGCAGCTGTTCTTTCATATTCGTGATCATCATCAATCCTACTTTCCATTTTGTTTGCGTTCCGAGTGAAACATGCTTGAGCTTTGTAGAGGTTTATAATGGGACTGCTAGCCTCATACCCAAGCTTCCCTCTTTCACTCTCAGTTAAGCTTGCTATCGTCGAAGTGAAATTTTGGATTGAGTCAGTAGGGAGTTGAATTCGCGTTAAGTGGGTTGTTGGAGAACATTCTAGTTTGGAATGGAACTATCGATGCACTATATCTTTGATTGAACACTAGTCAGTGGCTAGTGTAATGTGTCTAGTCCTTTGTTTGGTGCAGAGTGAATTCTGTTAGTGGGGTTTGCAATGTAGCCACCATCAAGCTAGGTGGCTTGCCATCCCAGTCCACTTTGAATTGTTGATATAAGGAGGTTGGAGACAATCGGTAGAAAGCCTTATATAATCCAGATTTCGTACTAGTTGGCATTCGTCAACAAGGCGTATCTGCAACCTTCAAGGAACTTATATCCCTTCTGAGAATCGAACCCGAGTCACTCGAAGCATCTCCATCCATGTATCTTCACACACCCGTCGATCGATTTCCCCTTGTTACCTAGCACTCGATATTGCTCACCTTATTATATCAGCTAGCCAGACTTTTCATGTCTTTCAATTGCAATAGCCATATCTCATGGTCAGATATAAAAGAGAACTGCTGAACAATACACACTACAGGTCCTTTGGTTAGCAGCCGGTCGGATATCACGACTACGCCAGAGACGGTGTGAACTTGCATATGCGAAGGGAGGGTTCTGTATCCGTGCAGAGATTTCGTCAGAGATCAACACGCTCCACCAACCACTTTACTTCAGCTTATGTTTAAACTAGGAGTAAGTCGATGTAGTTCAGTCCTGTAGCATCATCTTACAGTTGAAAGAAATGCTTGAATCGCATGCCAAACATTCGCACGTTGTTGGTCAAAATATTCAGAAGACTGTGTATTTTTTCAGAGTCTTCACCTAGAAGGATTATATGATCTGCATATTCTAAGTCGACAAGATTATTCCCTGGTAACACAGCTTGCTGGAAGGACACATTTTCTCAGAATTCAAAATAATAATCTCCTACATTTACTTCCCCCGCCGAATAGCACACCGTTACAGTGAATATGCGTAAGGCTTTGACACCTGACAGACACAAATTAGAATTAAGCGAAAGACCAAATCATAGCTGTACATGATGTATATTGTATGTATGTATATATATATATATACTTTCAATGTTAACATTCAATGGATCCAGTTATCATAGATACAGTGTGTGATTCAATCAATGGAGAATATAGAATAGTCATATTGTATTGTGCATTATCTTCAACATATCGAAAATCGTATAATTCTTTAACAAACCATGGAAATGTCGGCGGTCCGTAGAAGATGAAAGTTTGTGGTCCACGAATCTTTCGTCTACATTAATGTATTACACACAACAACAAAAAATAGAAGACATTATTATTAAATCCACCGATGATATCCAGTTTAAAAATATATATATAATGACAGTAATTGACAAAAACAACTTAAATATATCCTCCATTGAGGAGTCGTTTAATAAAAGAAAAGACGTTCAGCAAAAAAGGAGTTGCTCTTCTCCGCAAACTGTACAGTCGCATGCATATATACATAGCAAATCTTCTTGCCAACAAGAGGAATATATCCAAAGATCATTATTATTATTATTGTTTCCTTTAATTCCTAGAGGAACATAGGGCTTCAGCCGTGCGTCTCCATTGCGTTCGGTTCTCTGCTAGAATCTTTACCTGGCTCCAAGTCTGTCCACACGTTTTCATCTCCTCTTCACATGACCTCCTCCAAGTCACCCTTGGACGACCAACTCGCCGCTCAATAGGGTGGGAGAGGGTTAAGATTCCAAAAAGTAATCTGTGTAGGTGGAGAGAGAGGTTGATTATTGAATCCTTGTTCGCCGAGTCTACACCCAACACATGCAACAGAAATGACTCAACGCAAATACCAGAAATATGGAAGATATTATTACCACCAGTCAAACCAGAAGAGGATAATAAATAATCTCAAAATTCTATTTCAATTCGCGTACATTATAACATTCTTACAAGTTACTTATTATGACTATAAAAACACTCATCTTATTTCCCATCTGATTGTATTTGATCAATAACACTCGTATTATTATTTCTGAATGTACATTATCACATACTGATTTTTATTCAAATATCTAGTCAATTCCACACATGTACATAAATGAAGGAAAAAGTTGTGTGAGTAACTTGATATGATTATGAGTGGCAATAGTTTGTGCTCGAAACGTGGTCATCAGCTAATATTATTGTATAGCGCAACACTGTGTGATTTATTAAAATAAAATCTTATTCATAATGGAGTTTTACTCTACCACAGTGCACAAGTTTTATAATTATATCAATAAGCGTCACTAAACTGTTTACAGCACAAGTAGCACCTTTTAGGACTGAATTATGTTTGTGATTTTATGATTATATGCATGTAACGCTTGAAATAAGCATTTAAAATACGATCAGATGTGTTTTTATAATGATAAAAATAATAATGCAACAGAAACTATGAGCAGTTGTACTCATTTTGCATAACCCAGTCACTAGTCATATGAGAAAGAAAATAGTGGTGCTGATGATGAGTCCCAAACTAGGACGAAACAACTAGCTATCCAGTACTCCCCGGCTGTTTTCCAATAGTTCCCTAGAGCATGTCAATCCAAAATGTATCTGATGCTCATCAGTGACTGGTTACAGAAAGAAGTAGCCTAGTCGTGACCGGTAGGGAGTGAGGACAAATACTCGCCGGTGACATTAACTAGTGCCAGTTGTGCTTAAATCACCAGTTAGTGTAGAAGTTAGAATTGGTCGGCTGGCCATTGGATTGGCGGATCCCGGTGACTTAATGGCTTACGAGCTCGCTGGCCTTAAAACCAGAAGGTCCTGGGTTCGAACGCCTCTTGGTGGGTGAGTACTGCCGATGAGTCCCAAACTAGGAAGAAGCAGCTGACAGTCCAGTACTCCCTACTGATTTTCAGTGATCCTCTAACTTATAACAATCGATGATCAGAACTGAAGCATATATATATATATATAATTCACAAACCTTCGAAAGAAGAAATAACGTTCAGTGATTAACATTATACGAATACGACCATGAGAAAACAGCGTCCGAAAACGTTCAGCTTCTGAATCCTCTGTATATCTGAAAATAAGACGAAATGTATGATGATAATAATTGTTGCAAAAACTTTGTAGAAAATATTCACATAGTTTATGATTATTAGTCGGTACACACAGTAGTGCGTAGTAGTGTAACGGAAGAAGACGAAAGACTTGGTAAAGGAATGCTTATTTATAATACGGTCTCTATATATAGAGAGAAATTATGTACTCCACCTTATCTTCATTGCACTATTTACACAGATCTTTCGTGTTGGGCTACTTCTCGCCTCCATATTTGTATTCCTTTCACCCCTCCCATGTATCTCTGAAACGCTGTATCATTTGCTTTCTCTGACATCAAATCTACCTATCTCCCTGCTATTTGATCTATTTTATGACGATAAACGTCTCTTTGCATATATATATATATGCTGGTAAGACTTATCAGTAGCATACGCTACAGTCATAGCGTACCGTGGTGGCCTGCTTAAATCACACGGGGCTACCAGGATTTACATCTATCAAAATGCTCCTTAAACTCTTCTGCATTTGAAAAACAGAAAGATTGAGCGAAGAAATATTTACTTTTCAATTAGATCCTCATCTCACCCAGGCTCTACTATAGTATATATATATATATATATATATCATTTTTTACAATACACAACAATTTATCTAATTGAAAAGTAAATATTTCATCGCTCAATCTTTCTG